GTCATGGGCAGACATTCGTATGATTGTAGATTTACCCGTGATTTCCCGTGATCTCCCGTGATAATTAACCAATCAAAATACATAATTTTTAATTAATACTACAGTACTAGAAAACGTAAAAAACCTCACATAAAGAAACTTACAAACTAATAAATACACGCAAAAGAATTTATTAATTAGATTTAGAGAAAGAGAAGTTACAGTTACGGTACAATCCTCATGAATTCCATTGTACGTAATATTAATTGGTTTGCGTAACTTTAATCAATGGCATAATTTTTTTTAATTTATAGCGCAATTTTCAATTATATAAATATATATACGTATAAAAAATAATTTATTCCTCACCTGGGTGAATTATTTACTCCTTGAGAAACAATTTGCAGCCAACCACTATTAGTTCCGTTAGAATATAAATAAAAGACACAATCACAAGTACTTGTGCCGAATAAGAGCAATTAGTTGCGTTGCATTTTAACACCTCTCAATTAAGACCAGGTATATTTCAGTCCGTCGCTCAAAAAATTCTCAATATAAATTAAATTTCGTGATTATTTGTATTCAGTAAACGAATCAAATACTTCTCTTGTAGCCAAAATATCGTTCCTGATGGGTAAGAAACATGTTAATTTATTGTATATACTGTTCTTGATAAGGTTCTCTAATAGCTATAGCTGAGTATATGAGGAGAAATTGGCCTCGATTCTTTTTTAGCACCTTATCAAGAATAGCAAATAAAATTTTTTTTTTTGCCTTATCAGCAAAAACATTTGAATCATCGTTATTAACCCACTAAAAAATTAGTACATCATTATTAACTATTAAAAAAAAAAATTAAAATAAAAAAAAACTTTGTCGCATTGCGACATAATATTGTCGTTAGTGTTGCCTGCTGCAAAGTCGCGACTTAATATTTACAGCTTATTTATGTTGTAATTATTATAAAATAAGTCATAAATATTATATTACCGATGTCACATTCTATTGCGACGATAAGTTGCAACCCTAGTGGCGTAATAAAAAAGTCGCATTTCATATTTGCAGCAAGCAATACTAATTGTCGTTAAAAAGAGTATTAAACTTATTATTTTACAAGTTAGTCGTTTATTTCGTTTATTTATTTATTTTTTCCATTGAACCATGTAAACAACTTTTTCATATTTGACCTTCATTATTATCTAAGTAAATTTTTTCTCGAAACAATCTTTTATAAACCTTTGTCTTTTCAACCAGTTTGTTTTTCAGAAAAAAGATTTTCAAATGCACATCGTGTAGTAGCTTTTAGATGAAGATGATGAGTTTATGATTTCTTTACTCTGTTTTAACCAATTTATAGTTAATTAATTCAAAATTATTATATTGTATTTAGACATCCCATTTTTATACAGTAGAATTAGTTTGCAGTTCCTACAGTAATTGTTGCAGTTTTTTCGTTTCTGAACTGAAGGCAGGGTTGGCGCATTTGCCCATTGGTATGAGTGGACCCCAAGTCCATTGACCAGTTCCATTGGGCGGTCACTATTCCAATGGACCAATGGTCAAGTAGGTAAAATAATTATATAGTTTTTATAAATGAGTTTAAAATACTATACCACGTGATATTTGAGATGGTGTTGACCTTATTCTGACTTATGCTAATGGACTAATGGACCAATGGATTATGATATTGGTCCGTTGAGATCCATTGACAAACTTATTTTCAATGGACATAGTCCATTGTTGAAGGTAATAATGGATTTAATAATGATACTTGTGCACTGATAACGTTAACTATGGGAGCTTCTTTGGCTCTTTCAACTCACATCAATATCAATATCAAATTTTCAATTTTTGCTTCATTTTCGGTAAAAGATGGTTAATTTTTTTAATGGGTCAATAACGTGTACTGATTTTATTGGGGTCAATAACGATGACCCAAATGGGTCAATACGTATCAATGTTTTTGCGCCTTCCTTGATTGTCCCTTCCGACACATAATGTCATGATTGTAGTTTTTTTGATTTATACCCTGAGTACTGAAATTAGAACTCTACATACGTACGTGTCGATCATAATCAATAAACAATGAACAAGAAATATTTTGAATAATAATTTTATTAGCTTAAAAAAAAAAAAGTTGCGGCTACAACTTGCATAATTTTATATATTAATTGCGGTTACATAATTTTATAATCTTAAACAAAATTTTTACAAGTTTTATTTCTCATGCAATTACGCATTTTTTTTATTATTACTATGACTCTGCATTATTATTATTTTTCTTTTAAATTCGGAACTTTAAAAACTTTTACGGATCTTCACGTTTTAAACTTGGTCAGTTCGTGCATTCGAAAAGACGATCGGATATCAGTGTATTTTCGCAAGGAACATTCGAGCGATTTTATTCCGAATACTTCGTTACAACTGGGCGGTATGCTTCCAGAGACAAGTCGAGAATAAAACTTGTGCATAATATGCATGCATATGCATAATCTTATGAGTGCTGTAGTATTAAGCTACAGTACCATTAAACTTATCGTCTTCGCGGGGTGCTTTATATATTTAAAATCTCGGAAAATATACAATTAGAGAAACAAAGTAATATTCTCAAAGTTTTTTCGGCAAATTATCGAATACTAGTAGTGAATACATTATTCCGCAAATACGTCATTAAAATATTAAACTATTATAATATTATTGAAATTAAAGAATAAATTTAATAGATTCATTTAAATTAGGATAATGCAAATTACTATACACTTTGTTACATTGTAATTTCACTTTGTCTTTAAACAAAGCACATACATATGTGTGTGTTGGGAACCTTACTATAACGGAGTAATACTCCAAAACCAATTTTAAATAATTATTATTGCACTATAGTGAATCAGTAATAATCCGTAGTAGTTAGGTTAGATGAATGTAAAATATGTTAATATATTATTATGTACAGTACATAAATAGAAATACATAATGTGATACGTACGTAATAATTTTTACGTACTACGAAACTGGTAAGGCTAACTCCGTTTACGTAGAAATGATAATCCTGAAATAGAAAATAGATAAAAAAATTTTCGGAATTTTATTTTTTTAATTCGCTTTATATGATGTAATCTTCCAGAATTCAATAGTGATACGATAACATTACGATGATATGACACAATACCCAACTAAAGAAATCAGTCATTCAATAATCACGGAAAATTATAAAGCAAATTATTATGGTTCACAATAACATATGGATGTTAAATTTTGTTTTGTTAAGATAAATAAACTTATCATTACATAATCCGAACTCTTATAGTTACTAGCTCATAGGCAAACATTCGTATGATTGGCAGTTTAAATCAATTTAATTTTACATTATTTATACAGTTTAAAGTACTTTTTAAAAAAAAT